GAAGGTTCCCAGTAATCCGCATTTGGTTCTCAGCCTTCAGTGGTCATATTTTACGACATAAAAGAACATGAGTCGTGCTACGATAGTTAGTAATTCCTATCCTCGCAGTCGAATGAATGCCACCGGTATGTATTTGCGAGAGACTCAAGGCAGTAGCTTAAGAAAAGCACTCACCCAGATTGTTACTCGCCACCTCTTTCTATATCTAAACGGACAAAATTGCCAATCTCACTATTCTCTCGGCGTTCTGTGCCTTACTAGCCAGAGCGACAGAAATGTGATGGAAAATTCTCATACTGGAAAACTGCAGATGCAGAAACAAGTTCGGAAAGATTTCCTTGGGAGAATACGGTGACTATGATGGCACAGCCCTCTACAACGTCAGTGATGTGAGTCCAGGGCCTCAACCCGGGAAAGTAGCTATTAGCCCCGCAAATACTGCTTTTATTCCTTCCAGCGAGCCAGGGGTAATAGGCAGGGCAGTCATATTTTTGTCGAGGCCCGTATTCACCCATACTTCGATGTCAAGAGAGACCTCTGCTCTGAAAGGTACAGTACGCCTGGAAAAAGGTCGAGTACGAGCTAGCTACACCTTCCATTCTCCAACACCTCTAAACAGAACGACAGCCCAAGCCTGATGGTTTGAACTCATTAACGATAAAAGTGGTACAGCCAGGGATGAGTCCCGAACTTGGCTTTACGGTTGAGGGCACACAACCAAATTTTCGTCGCCCCCCGAGTCCCATGGCAGTCTTAATGTGTTCGCAGGCTGGAGCAACTGACGAGGCCACTACCCACCCTCCAAGTCAACTGATTGCGTTCATGGCGAGAAAAAAACACTACCTCACGGGAATATGCAGTGAAAGACAACCTCACTTTGAGCGGTGAGGTGGGCCCTAAGTCTTCAAGCCTACCTATGAAGACGCGCCCAATAGTACCATGCAGGACAGGTTCCAATCACTCGAGATTGGTTTCCCGGTCTGAAGAGCACAACATCCCGGCTTTACGCACGAATACGTCACTGTATGTAGGTAGGCATCAAGAAGAGGGGTGTGTGAATGACGTGTGACCGTGCTGACCAAGAATAACAAAATGAAGCTGTTTTATCATGAGGTTCCCCCTGATGCACCTACATTGTACCAAGTACGTTTTAAAGATGACCGTCAGTGAGAGGCCTTCCTAGCGCGAGCTGTCACGGGCACTTCGTAGGGGACCACGTTGCAAACAAGTCTAACGTATATGCACATTTCCCCCTGATGACAATGTAACTATCAGGAAACACCGTCATGGAGCGTTTTAGTCTCTGCTGACAATAATGAGCACCATCTAAACCTGGCATCTGTTTCCACAACCATTTTCGATTCATTCATTGTCGACTGACCTGAAAAGCTCCACACACTTTCATACTCAAAATCGTTATTAAGACGCTTGAATTTCGAGAACATATCGAAGCACTCAAGACAAGATTAGCGACATCAAAAATAGCGCCTATTCATGTTGTATCTGACGCCTTCCAGATGGTCATAATATCTACCCAGGGAGGTCAATACAGAGACAGTGGAGGCGAGCCCACTGGTCAAGCTGGTTACGGAAGCTCTTACGGGAGTTCACGAGGCGGACATAGTGGTGGTCACTTATACGAAGGCGGACCAACGAGCGGAGGAAGATGTTTAAGTACCGGAACCACGTCATTTGCAGGCAGGGGTGGTAATGGAGGCGGCTTGACTGGGGGTCGAGGTGGTGGTCTGCACAGAGACGGAGGGTGGAGCGGCTGGGGCGGCTGGGGAGGATGGGGTGGCAGGGGCGAAGGCGGCGGCGGCGGCGGTGGTGGTGTCGGTGATTATATGGAGGTGTTGGGGGTTTTCAAGGAGGAGGAGGAGGAGGAGGTGGTGGTGGTGGTGGCGGTGGCGGAGGTGGTGGAGGAGAAGGGCCACATGGAGGCCGTGGATGGTTCGCCTGGTCCAGGACTTCCGGCGACGATAGAAGTGGACTACACGAAACTAGAGAATGGGCCAGGTATGAAGACTACAGAGGTGAGGGTGGCCATGGAGGAGCAGATGGTCGAGGGGGAGCAGGGGGCTGGGGCGGAGCAAGTGGCCAACCAGGAGGAGATGGTCGAGGGAGGACAGGTGGCCGAGGGGCATAGGCCGGGGCCTTATGAACCGACGTGTTCTTTTCCAATCACATTTCCATTTCTCTTGGGCTTTGCTTCACCGAAATGATGGATTATGCCTGATGATGGCCTTGTGCTGCTGCGATGATGTGCGAATGATGGTTCAAATCGTTTCTCCTTCGCTAAGCCTTGGCCCTGCAAAGAACGCAGAAGGATGCCCCGCTGTGTGTGGAAAATAAATAAAAATTCCATGAATCAAAGGCGGAATTCTGTGACTGGCTTATTTCTCCAGTTCCGCAACGGTAAGGTGGTCAGCAGAAACAGCCACGGCAGCTACACTGGCAGAGCCTCATCTCTTGTGGAACACACCATGATTATGACGACCGGAATGCTCAGGCTATGTGGCTGGGAGATCTTTTGGTTTTGTAATTTGATGACTCTTCCCTTCTCAGACCAAGAACCTACGTGCGGAATCACTCGACGATATTTTGTGATAAAGCTTTGGAGCTGACATGGTGAACATCATAAGCCAATCGTTTGCAATCCGGAGAATGACTGCTGCATCAGCTCAGGCAGACAGCAAATGTGTTCACATACGAGTTGGCTTTTCAACTTAACAATTTTCCACGTACGTCAGTGCGCAATATCAACGAGTTGCGTTGTCAAAATCCTTGATCCGAGGCACTGAGTCCAGTCAATTAGCCTGACGGTCAAACCAACTCCGGAGGACCTGATCATGGCATGACATACTTAAGAGAATATTTCTCACGGCCGATCCTTAAAATGCCAACAAAGAACCCCAGTACACAAGAAGCGTATCTTGACTCGACTCTTTCTGCACAACACGCTTTTAAGCCTCAGACTCCTCTAAGAATTCAAGCTACAAATACAGTGAGGCATTTTACCATTACAAATAAGACCCCTGCAATTCCTGACAACTCATAGATATGGGCCGTAAAGATCGGAGCAGCAAAGATCTCGTCGTTAAAGCCGGCGGAGGGGGTGGTGGAGGAGGAGGGGGGGGCGACAGGCGGGGGCGGCGGATCCGCCATGGTACAGATCAACTACGGGCAAGACGGGGACTTCGAAATGATCAAAGCATCCTCACGGACTACAGAGGATGCAAACGGAAACTACGTTCACGAGTCTTCGTTTGAGAAGATCAGTTAAACAAACAACAGTGGTAAACGTTGACCATCAGGCTTGCAGTATGGATTACTGAACAGCGTGGATGACTAGCCATGAAGTCAGGTGGCTTACCAAAAGTCCTCATATTGAACTAAATGCACAATACATCTTGTCCGAAAAATAACACTTTGTAGATGGCGACACTAGAAGCGATAATAGTGATAGAGACGACGAGGGCGGCAGTGTTGACCATAGTAACATACGGTAAATAAGGGATGAACCCAAAGGAAATATTGTGACGCAAGCATAGGGAATACAGGCTGTCTCCTCTCCACGGCTGGGTCTTGACCAACCATAGCCCTGGGCTGTCAATAAATCTGCACTTTTTGCTTCATTCTGTGGAGTCTGGGTCGCGTTGGCCATCATCATCCGCGTACCGAGAGAAAGAACCTCTCCATACTTCAATCGCCTCTTCCGCCCGTCCCAAGGATTGCAGTATTTCCCTCCAGATCAGGCGGTTCCGCCGCAAAGTCTGGTCAGGCGAACTAACAATGTCAGAGGACCCGACCTGCTCCTTTGCCACATCGAGAGCTCTACCAAGGTCCTTGGAGTATGTATCTTTTGTTTCTAGACCTCCGCAATGAACGCAGCCATTATGCCCACGGCTTCCCCCAACAACATGCCCCGAGCTTGCACCGCAATCCCTATGTCTCAATACTGACGTTTCCTCTGCGGCACTGACTCTACCCACATGCGTCCTGCACAGTTCAGTGATCTTCGTGTCTGCAGGAGACAGCCTCAATCGTGCTGCGGCCGTGATCTGGTACGCTTCAATGCCAATAGTAGTCTCTGAAGTCTCTCCAAATTGGGCGGCAGCTTCTTCGACAAGGCTTCCGAGTTTTGCGACGACGACCGTGGACTCCTGCGACGTGTTCGAGTCTCCCCTCGCAAGCAACAGCTCGATACTGGCCAGAAGCGTAGAAAGATCCTTCGCCCCACGGAGCTGGCTGTATATGTCTGCGGTGATGCTAAGCAGACGCTCAAGAGCCGAAGCCAGTTGCTGTGCATCATTCAAGTGAATCAAATACAGCAGCTGAGCCAACTGAGAGATCGGATCCTGCATCTTCTTGAGACTCAACATCTGCGATACGTAGTGTAGCCAAGCCCGCGTGATATCTTTATATCTGCCGGGAAGGTAGAAGGGAATATATAGCAGAACGACCTGGTATATCTCAATAGAATCTCGTTTCATAACATCCTCCAAATTTCGAAAGGCCTCCCGCAACATTATGCCGCCTTGTTTGTGGTGCTTGCTTTCAAACAGACGGATGGCTTGGTCCATCTGGGACACCAGGAGCCTTCCGGTTGTCGGAAGCCCGGTAAATCTGAGTTCTCTGCTGGACCAGCCTCCGTCATCGCGCCGGAATGTGCCATGAATGAGGTCTCGAAGGCTGATGAAGAGCTGCAGAGTCCTTTTGTCATCTCCGTTCGCGCAGGTTAACTTGGTAGGTGGCGTGGCACTTGCGGTTGGTACTCTTGCCGAACTGCGTCTTCTGATAGCCCAAGCAGACTCTAAGTTGATGTTTCTTTTACTGCGCATCGGCCGTCGGCATGTTGTCTGGCCTTGTGACATTTCAATAGCTCGGCCAGTTTCCTTACTTTCCTGGACCGATTGAGTGTTGTACTTTTTCCAGCCCCATCTTTTGAACTGCCGCTTGTACATCCTTTTGCTAAGATGTAACGGCAATGTTAGCCAGACCTAAGGAATAAAAGAACGATATGAAGCGTGGTGTCTTGCTAGGGTGGGAAAGCTTCCATACGTAGCTGCAAAAGAGTGCTCCCTAAGCATGGTGTTCGCAACCTCCTCAAGAGTGAAGTTCTCAACCAGGTAAAGTTGTCTAATGATGTCTTTCATGGTGTTCCACTCTTTTAGTGTCTGCGGGCGCCGTGGTTCAGCTTGACCGGAGGACTCCGGCGATTCCAAGACGCGAAGGCTAAGGTTCGGTGCAGTACGTTGATGTGGCTTCGGGGCCAACAGCTTATAGCCGGACGGTGTTTTGGAGCCATCCTGAGAGGTTGCCCGCGCAGGAGTCTCTGGTCTGTCGTCAATTCTGTTGAGTATCATTACAGCTTGTCTTCCCCGTCGATAGAAAAGTGTACAGAATGAGCCTGACTCCGGCCAGGGAATGGTAAGACTGAATTGGTCCAGCACAATGTCCAGCCCAATTAGTTTGGAGCTGCAACTGTTGGTTGGCAAAAAAACTGTCAGCTGAATTGATTCGGTTCCAATTACCACACCACTTTTCGCTGTCATTGTTGGTGGTTGCCTTACCTCACCCTACCTTCCGGCCATAGCCAGCCTCAGCCGCTGTGGAAGCACAATGCCTTGTCTCACATCAGCACGAATCAACGACGCAGAAGTCAACCCCTTCCATGCTACGTGATCCAGTAGAAAAGGCTCTGGGTACTGCATGCCAAGCCGCTGCTCGGCAGAAGGAGAATACTTTGCGACTTGGCAGGATGTCATCGTGCATGAATACTTATTCGGATGCCCTTCTCGTCTCTGTCGTCCTTCTGTCGTCCTACTCCGCATCGAAAACCTCCAGTCCTGGCCATGGTCGTCTCAAAGAATGATCATGGTCCATATTGTCAGCCGATCAATCAAATTTGACAACTGACAGGAACATTAGATGGTAAACATGAGACGATCGCCAAGTGAACATAGATCACGCCCTATTGTCTGGTGGTTGACTGCCACTCAAATCTCTCACCAAATCCATATACCGCATCTCAGGAACCCAATCCATTAAGAAAAAAGAACACCAACTAAATGTAGTCATTCAAAAACCTAAGCCTACATCGCCAAGTCCCAAGCCGCGCGCGGCCCAAACCCCAACACACCCCGGGCAAAAATACACACGGTTTTTTTCGGTCGAACTCTTTGTACATGATTTATCTTTCTCCTTCCCCCGACTGGCGGAGTCTCTCGAGACGAGAGCAGCCCGCTTTCTGTTATCAGTCTCTTAGTTTATCTTCCCTTGTATTCTTTCCCCTCGACCCTCCTTCTCTCCTGCCTTATTGCTTCCACCCGGATCATTAGAACGTTGTTCAGACATTACATGAAGCGCAAGCTTCCCGAGGGTCCTCTCTCGACGAGACCCTCAACTTCCCTCCTCACAGCACGCAGACGCCTGCGAACCTCCGCCAAGTCTGCACCGCCAGGGTTTGAGCCGTGGCCCGCGGGCGGCAAGGACGATTCGCACCTGCTCAGCAGATCCTTAACCCAGGCACCAATGGCACCGTCACCCTTCAGAGAGGCGCCACCGCGACGCTTCACCTCGCGTTGCCAGACATCGACCGCGAAGACGATGAGCTCGATGATGCGGTTACGGTTGTTGCCGCTGAAGCCGTAGTCTTGTGTGTCGAAGACGCTCTCGAGAACACGTGTGACCATGTCGTGGGAGACACCGAGGCTGATGAAGAGCTGGACGGGCCATGTGGGGTCGGCACCAATCTCGGCATCCTGGTGGTACTCGACGGCGTAGCGGCAGACTTCGGGAAGGAGGACTGGCACAGGGAAGATGAAGCTGTCGAGTGATGTGCGGTGGGCGATGTTTTGGACCTTAACGGACACAGACTCGTACGGCGACGGCAAGACGGGGATACCGGGGCCGGCCTCCTCCATGCGGTCGACGGCCTCTTGGTGGATTTGCTCAATCAGGCTGACCCATGTTTGGGAGATCGTGCTAGGGTTGCGGTAGTCGGCACTATGGTAGATCAAAAGACACAGGTCGTAGTAGTTTGCTTGGTCGGCGTATTGGTTGAAGAGCTGGAGCAAATTAGCTTTGTCGGTGAGCACAAAGGCAAATGACTTACATCTGACAGCGACAATATCTGACCGTCGAGAGCCTCTTGAATCTCCGCCTTACGCTCCGGCGCAATACGGCTGTCGGCCTTGAGCCTCTCCAGCAAGTCGTCCTGGATGTTGGCGATGTCAAGAAGCTCGCTGACCTCGTGGGCGAGGACCTGCTGTTGTTGCCTTCCGATACCGGCGGTGGCGACGCTGGCGTTGCCCTTGGCTTTGCTGAGAAGCACAATGCGCTCTTTGATGCCGAGGTCAAAGTCAGAGTTGGCAAGGTCGGCCTGGACCTGGGCTGCCTCAAAGTATCTCTCACGCTGGGTATAGAACTTGCAAAGAAGCTCGGCGTGTCCAACATTAGACCTGGCGAGGCTCTGGAGGTATGTGATAACGTGAGGTGACTCGATGGCCAGAATTCTGTCGGTCCAACCCTGTTCGATGTACCACTCATAGAGGTCAAAGTGGAAGACCTCATCATCCGAATCGTTCACCACGCTGTATGCCTCCAAGCGCTTGGTGCCAATCAGCGTCAGCCTGCCATCGATCGTCTCCGGCTCCCTGCTTGAGGCGGCGTCCAAGTGCTGCAGAGCCTCGTGAATCAACTCGTAGCACTTTCTACGTTCCGAGAAGGCATTAGCACGAGGGTCGTTTGGAGGCTTGCCATCGTGGACCCAGGTAAGGGCACTGTTGCCTCTGTCTTTCTCGCGAGCGACGACCAGGCAAAGCTGGATTGCGCCTGCGTAGTACTTCAGCTCAATGTACTGAGCCACAGCATTGTGCAGGTTGGCGAAGGAAAGGGCGTTGGCGACGCGCTCGAAAAGCCTCAAACTCTCATGCAGCAGTGTGCGTGACGGATTGCTGTTCAGAGGCTGCTCGGATGCCCTCTTCAACTGCTCTTGGGCCTTGAAAATGACAACATCATCAGGGCTGCAGAAGCTGCCGCATCTCCTACGCAGGGCATCGGCCACAGTCTCCACGTTGGAACCGCTCTCGATGTTGCGGTTGACGATCGACTTGACAAGAAGCTTGGCCAGCTCCTTTCCAGGAGCCTGCGAAAACAGCTTCTCGTATGTGAGCTCCTTCAATTCTTGTTGCGCTTGGGCGTCAAGTCTTGTGAAGATGTCGCTAACACGCTCGTCGAACAACATTGAAACGAAAGAAATGCCTTCTGAAATGCTCTCCATCAGCTTCTGGAGCGCGTGCAGAGCCTGGTGCTCGGCCTGGAGAGCAACCTCCTCTTGCTTGCTCGCCACTCTTTGGAGATCAGAGGGGCCAGACAGGCCTTGGATGAAGCTCTTGTTAGCCTCGAGAAATCTGCGAAGGCGCTCGAGCTGCTCTTGGATCGATAAAAGCTTGGCAAGAGGTACTCTTGATCCGATGGTGACGCCTCCGGTGGGGCTCACGGCAGGGACAACCACATGGTTCTTCCACAGGGTTCGTATCAGGCGAGTGATGTACACACAGAGGGCGTCATGCCTAGGAGAAAGGCGGACGGAGGTGGTGTTGAGTTGTGTGCCGTCGGTCTCGGTGATTGAGGGCTGTCCACCGTAGTCGACGAAAACAGTGCGAGCGCGATCTTCCGTGGCCTGGTCGATAGCGCGAGCGGCTCCAGGTCGTGCATCACCGCCATGTCCGCAAGCTACTGCCAGCGCACAGGAGATTGTCTCCACCCGGCCATATCGCTGGATGAACTTCCGTGTCTCCAGTTCCAGTCCCTCATCTCCCACGGCACCGCGAATAGCAGAGGCAAAAGTGTCGACCAGTCGGCGGCGGCGAATGATGTGCACACCAGTATTCGTGAGAATGGCAAATTCGGTCGAAGGCTCATCAAATTGAACGGCGAGCTCGTTTCCGAAACCGATGGGCTGGTTCGCAGCAGCAAATGGCTTCGTGACCAAACCAACATCTTCAGCTCTACTTCCAATATCGATCCAGTTGCCGTGTTCGTAGTACTTGAGTTGTTGAGATGATGCGTTGGTCTTGATTCGCCCAGTTTCGGGCGCAGAAACGAAAAGCTGATCGTTGTTGGGGTCGGACTCCTTGACGACGAAGTCAAGGAAGTAGCCTGGAGCGAATCGAGCACCGAGTCTGCTCATCGCCAGGGCTTTCGAGGAGAAATCGATTATGGTCTCGCCGGCAGTATTCGTGCTGGCGCGGGCAGGGTTTTCCGCCGGGGGGAACTTGATGTACTGAACCTGCATACTCTGAGGGGGTGTATTAGAAGACACGCCGCCAATCATATAAGAAGCAGAGCTTGTTGCGCTAAGAAATAGTCGGCATCCGGTGTTGGTGAGCGCCATAAGATGCAACTTCGACGCCTCTCGGGAGGGGATAGCACTAATCGAAACGATCGTTGTGCGCTCGTTGAGCAAGGGCGACTGAGTGATCATATGGGTAATGTCACGAAGACACGCGTTTCTTTCCTTTTCGATAACCTTAGTGAGCTTGTTAGGCCCGTCCATGTGGTACGTTCGAATGGTAGACCTGGTAGACAGAGTGTAGACCAGTTTCCGCGAGTCATCAATGACGATGCTCTGAAGGCCCTCGGGAGACTTGTGCTGCCAGAAACCACTCTGAAGAGTGACCACGGAGGACCAACCGGGGTTGGTGTGGTTGATCTTGCCGCATCTGTTCGAAAACCACTTCTCCTCCTGCTGGTAGTACAGCTCGTGAATATCGGTATCGTTGCTTCCGCCGAAGAAGATGCGACCGTCCGCGGTGCCAGCAATGACTCGGACATCGGTGCCTCGCAAAGGGAGGTTCAACTTCGTGCTGTAGAGCGAAACCGTCTTCGTTCCGGAGGGGGTCGGTTCGGCAGAGAGACCGAGGAGAATCATCTCGGACGAAGTCGCGACGACGAGGATATGAGTGATGGAGTTGACGAAGATGCCGGGCTTCGGGGACACCAGGGCGACTGCGTGGATCGTGTGAGGCTGGTCCTCGAAGCCAATAAGCTCAGGGTCAGGGTGTGTGTAGTCCCAGAGGAACAGCGAGTTGTCGATAACAACCCATGCGTGGTTGATCTCCGCGAACAAGCCCATCAACGTCTGCAACTGGCCGGTGTTGTAGTGGCTGAAGACCTGGTTCGGGATGGGGTACATCTGCGTCTTGTGGAAGGGAGCCCACGCCGAATCGAGCGAGCTGTAGTCATACTCGGAGGATGCGCCTGCTGTTGGGGGGTCAGATATGCCATCGAGGGGGGAACGGGCGGTGGAAAGGGAGACGACGTACGCCTACAGTACGAATCCAGTTCCGGGTAGTTCTCA